AGTTATAAATGGTTGGATTTACTTCCAAAGTTAATTCGAAAATATAATAATAAGGTGCATAGATCTATAGGAATGAAGCCTAACCAAGTGAATATTAAGAACAGTAAATATGTGCATGAGAGGTTGACTTCTAAAGTAGTGCAAGTTAAAAAGCCAAGATATAAGGTAGGTGATAGTGTGAGAATTTCCAAGTATAAACATGTTTTTAGTAAAGGATATACCCCGAATTGGACAGGGGAGCTATTTACAATAGCAGAAGTAAAGAATACAAAGCCTGTGACTTATATCTTGAAAGATGAAAATGGTAATATAATCAGGGGAGGCTTCTATACAGAGGAATTGTTAAAGACCAAATATAAAGACATGTATTTGATAGAAAAGGTTATTAGGAGAAAAGGTGATTTATTATATGTCAAATGGCTTGGGTTCCCAAGTAGCCAGAATTCATGGATTTCCACTAAGGATGTCCAAGGGAGCGCGCCATGAGCCGGGAGCGCGCCCAAGTTCGCATACAAACCTCGCTCGATTTTGTGAATGGATGTGGATTTGAAATAGTAATGAAGTTATACAATGGTATTGATCATTTATATAGGCTTGTATAGGCCGAGAGCTGGATTTTTAAAAAAGTGGTCAAAAAAAGCTCACCATGTTATTCTTATGGGGAAAACGTGCCTAAAGTGTCATAGGACCATCATATTGCCACTACTAACTTTAAATATTAATTCTAAAGAAGAATATTTATTTTATTTTAATAACAAATGGTAATGCCAAACACCAAAGCCACAGAACCCAAGTCCACTTAATCTTCAGACAACAACCTTATCGCTCTATTCTTGTATATTGTCCTCCTTATAGCTTGTCGTTCGCCACAGACAAGTAACCTGGTCATTCTCTCTCTGTCCACGGACCTATTAATATGTTCTAGTACCGGCCACCTCTTTTAATCTCATTGCCATTTGATCAAGTTGTTTCATTATTTTATCATTTTTATTGCAATTGATATTGCCCAATCTTAAATTCGTTATTTTGTTGTTTTATTTTATTTGTGTTTTATTAACTCACGAATCATGCACCATCGAGTAATCAGTGTCCTGTGCGGTGTCGCGACTTCCGCGTAATTTAAGTGGCCACCAACAATAAAAGACTTAGCGTTACGTGCGAACATCAAGCCTTCAAGCAGAAAGAAGAGCGAAAATCGTCTCATCCAACATCCAACTACCAAGGGTTCGTCACAGCGCCGACACTAAATCTGAAGTTCAAATACGCCATCTTTCCCCCTACGTCTGCACTGGAGTTTTTAAAGGGACATGTTTTCTAGTTTCTTATTATTTCCACAATTTAATTTGTGGTGTTCCTTCGTAATTTACCTATGAACATTCACTTGTAATATTCAATTTAAAATAAATAATACACTCATACGTAACAGGATAAAATGAATTAATTTAGTATATTTTATTGTCTAATTTATTATCAAACATTCAGTATTTAGGCTGCTGCATTTTATAAACCAAACATCGTATATTGCTTTCTTGGCCTATCGCATAACGTTATCCTGTTTGTACGTGTTGAACTTAACTGATTGCATTAATGAATTATTAGCAATACAATTAGCTGTTAATTATAATTTCAATGGGTCAAAACGATAATCTATAAAGGGTTATCTCGTCATCTCGAGAGTATTTAATTCTGGCCACTAACTTGAAACCCAAAAGGCGGGTATATTATTTATATGATTTCTAAACGAAACGTAAATCATCATTAATGTATGTCGCAACAGTTATTTTATGTGTATCCAAGTCACATCAAAAAACATTATTCTATTAATCGACATTAATGTTGCAAGAAGATTCAATATTTTAATATTTGTTCATACTTATAATTAATTATTTTCAAAGCAACCATCACTTATAATTTGGAGACAGCAATCAAATAACAACTTATTCATTAGTTTATTTGGAATTAGGAATCACGTATAGCCTATATTTCAAAGTCAATATTCTATAAATGGCCAACAGGCTAGAGTAAGTTTAAAGTATTTAACTATTGTCAATGGGAATCAAAAATATATGCCAGTTTGATTGTTTTGATTTAACCGCAAAATTTGACACGTATGAACTACAGCCTACCCAAACCACAGTAAGAAATTAAAGTCATACAGGGCTGGTCGTCAGGGTTACAAGATTTGTTTGGTGTAAGTACAAAGTAAATTATGTGTGATGATGCTTATAAATTAAGAGGTTCCACGTCTAAAAATTGTTGGAATTGTGGTAATGAACAGCCTTGTATGTCTTTAACCAAAGACAAATTTGTTGACATAAAAATAATTTAAAGTTAAATGAAGGTTCATGACTAATTTTAAAATAGTCATATTTCATTTAGTGATTTATAAAATTTAAAAACAAACATTTGCCGAGTAATTTGAGACCAGAAAGAACTTAGTGACGTATTAACAACCCGAGATATAAATCTTTTAATAACAACTTATTTGTAATAAGTTAAATTTTATTGTGTTAGGGTCCGTAGCTCGACTCTAACTCGTCCAACTTTGATGATCAATAGCTCAAATGAAAGCTCATACATCACTGAATATTTTAAGACTAGAACGAACTGCAAGCGTTAATAAGAACTGGAGATATAAGAAAAATAATCTTTAAAAATGTTTAAAGTACGAAACGACCGTAAGAAATGTATGGGGGAGAGTTTTCATTTGAATATATCTTCCAAACGAAAAAAAGATGTTTAAAAAATGTTTTCAGAATTGAAATCTGCGTGAAAATCTAGTTCATAATGACGTGTCACAACACTAACATTGCATTAAAAGATTTTATTAACATTCAATATGGCGGATCCAAGATGGCGGCCGAAAACACCAGCTAGGCCACTCTTTCAGACAAAACACCCGGTAGTACACGATTCTATATGTCATTGCCTATCTATCGCCACCAATCATACAATTGCTTCATTCAAAATCCCACAAAATTACATATGTCTCACAACTATATAATATTTTATTTTTTTCTACCTGTAATTTGTGAGATTTGTTTATAGCTAAAATACCTCCGTATCAGTAGACCTGTTTACTCAGAGAATTTCAAATGCTTCAACAAATACTTAAAATTGGAGCCACACATCAACATTTCTCAACGTATGTTCATAAACAAGCATGCAAAACTATTGACCATAAGAATAACATGGGAAGTGAGTATGCAGGTTTGCTGCCACGGAACTGTCAAAATGGGGGATTTTAGGCAATAATCAAGTAGATCTCTACTATATGAAGCCACATACCACTTTTTATTCAGATAATAGCAACAGTGCCCGTTGTGGTTAAATAACGGTCTCTAGTAAAATAATGGTTATTAAATCCATACATCACTTTTCTCACTAATATAAAGTGTACAGATTAAGCACATAACATTAGAATCACACACTTAACATAAGAAACACACTTTAAACACAAATCCAAATGGTTAACAACAACATTTAATCAAAGAAAAATTAATTAGATAACGTCATAACAATAAGCTGTTATTATTAACACATGTATCGTATGATTAGATTATGCATACTGGTAAACCAATTATTGCCATCTATACAAATTATTGGTTATTCTTTTCCGAGTCAGGTTAGCTCTTCTATCCGACCGATTTTCATAATTTTGGCCTTAAACTAAAGGTATGGACGTACCACAGATTTGCCATCAAGCATCGGCTTTCATTTTGACATGTATTTCGAGTTATGCACAAACTGCCTCCCTGTACATTTCTTATGGGAGTTAAATATGGTTGTTTTTTTTTAGTTCGTTTGGCTCTTCTACCCGCCCGATTTTCATAATTTTGGTTTTAAAATAAAGCTATGCAAGCACAGGCTATTTCTCATCAAGCATCATCATTAATTTATCTAATATATTACTCGACGAAAGAATTTAAATTAGATTTTTTTATTCTCACTTCAATTAAAGATGTATTCCAGCAGTTCCAATTACATTACCCTATATGTTTTGGTCTAAAAACCTTTAGTGAAAACCCAGCTTTCATTTGAGCTATTGATTATTAAGGTCGGACTACCTAAAGCACACTGCTGAATCACGAATCAACAATAATTACAATCGTTTTAGTACTTATCTGCAATCAATGATACGTAAACCTATTTTTATTTCAGTTATTTAATGTTATTTATTAAATATTAAGTTATTTAATGTTGTGAGGTCTTGGTCTTAAAATACTTCAAAGGCTTTCACTTGAGATATTGATAGTTTTAATCAGTTTAGTACTGTAGTTAGATACTGTATCACAGTATCGCTCAATCAGAAAATACTCAGAGAATTTCAAATGCTTCAACAAATACTTAACATTGGAGCCACACATCAACATTTCTCAACGTATGTTCATAAACAAGCATGCAAAACTATTGACCATAAGAATAACATGGGAAGTGAGTATGCAGGTTTGCTGCCACGGAACTGTCAAAATGGGGGATTTTAGGCAATAATCAAGTAGATCTCTACTATATGAAGCCACAAGCCATCAAGTCTCACAAATCCAACAACAATTATTGCCTAATAATGTTGGATTGTTGTAAGTTTGATTATATCTTGGATATGGAATTTTGTTTTAGATATATTTACTTAATTCTAATTACGTTATTCTTTTTGTTTTGACCTAAGAACCTTCAGTGAAATACCAGCTTCCATTTGATTTATTGATTATTAAGATCGGACGTACCTAAAGCACACAGCTAAAGCACGAATAACACAAATTGTTAAAAAAAAATGGAGTTATTTATCGTCGATTTATAGACAAACGATCTTGCTTGCAACCTCAACAGTAACTGTCGACTTTGACGGGTTTCACCTAGTAAATTTTAAAAAATCAAACTTTTATAATTATTTGCAAATTTACACAAATCAGGCTTTCCAAAACTCAACTTTCAAAATAAAATAAATCCACTTTCAATAAAATGCAACCAAAATTTCTTCTTCCCATTATTCATTAATAATTTTACAAGTCCAGCCTGTGAGGCTTTCGCACAGTCCGTCCAGACTTCCTCAGCGAGGGTGGTGGGCTGCACTGTGCTAGCGGCGACGCAGGAGTTGGCTGAGGCTGGGCTTGCCCTAGGCTCTCCCTGGGACTGGTAGTAGGCCTAGGTACAGGTGACATCATCAGGGGACTAGTTGGTCGATCCTCCGGTGGGGATGAATTCTTGGGTACTTGGGGTGATACAACGGGATCCTTGGGTGATACAAAAATCTCCTCCTCTTCTGCATACCGAGCTCTCAAGTGGTCTGCATGACAAAATCGGGGTTTTCCACCAATGACACTCACAAGATAGGTGACCGGACTTCTCTGTAGAATTATTTTGCCAGGAACCCAAGAAATCTTTTCATTTCGGACAGTTTTGACATAGACTGCCTGACCTTCTGAGAAAAATCTACTTCTTCCCCTAAGCCTATCAGCTGCATCTTTTTGTTCCCTGTGTTTTTGATCAATGGATGACTGGAGATTGGGTTTTAACATAACCAACTGTGTACGAGGCTTCCAAGACAGGAACATTTCTGCAGGGGTTAAGCCAGCAACTGTATTTGGAGTGTTGCGGTACGCAAACAAGAAATTATTTAATTTCATTTGAAGAGTGGTATGCTGAGAACACTGATGTTCCTCAATCACTTGACGCAAAAGGTTTTTCTTGACCTCCTGAACACTTCTCTCTGCAGATCCATTTGAAGCAGCATGATACGGGGGAGTTAATGTAAACTTCACATTGTTGTTATGCAAAAAGGTTTTGAACTCTTGACTAGTAAAAGATCTTCCGTTGTCCGACACCAGTTCGACAGGCAATCCATACGATGAAAACAAGGTACGGAGTTTCTCAATAACCTTGGAAGAATTCATGGAACTCATGATAAATACCTCTAACCATTTAGAGTATGTGTCAATCAAAACTAAAAGTTGCTGTCTCGACTCTGGATCCTCCGCAAAGTCAATGTGTATCCTCTGCCATCGGGTTGATGTTGTAGGCCATTGCTGCAACGGTACTTTAGGTATCGAATTCCTAGTTAACTGACAAGCAGAACAAGAGGCCACCACGTCTTCAATCGACTTCTCCATGCCTGGCCACCAGACATAACTTCTCGCCAGCATCTTCATGCGTGTAACTCCCGGGTGTTGATCATGCAACATTTGAAGCACAGATGAATACAGTTTCTTTGGAATCACTACACGAGAACCCCACAGCAAACAACCTTGTTCCACGGACAACTCGTCCTTCTTCCTTAGAAAAATAGCTAGTTCCGGCTCAACCGAGCTCGTCCAACCGTACATCACAAAATCTCGGACCTTCGAAAGAATCGGATCCTTATCCGTCATTTTACCTATATGCAAGGCAGTAATAGGTGCAATGTCCTTGACAACACAGAAATTGTTCATCACTTCTGTACACACATCTACATGTGAAACAAAATTAGCATCCAGCTGTATAGGTTCCGCTTCTGCTAAGGGTAGCCTAGACAACGCATCAGCATGAGGGACATCCACTCCCTTCCAGTACCTAACCTCCAAATCATATGCTGATAGAATCAAGGCCCATCTCTGCAGCCTAGCTGCCGACATACTAGGAACGCCCTTTTTAGAGCCAAAAATAGCCGTCAACGGCTGATGATCAGTCTGTAAAATACAATGTCGTCCATATATATACTTATGAAACTTTTTGACTCCAAAGATCAAAGCCAGAGCCTCCCGATGTAACTGAGAATAATTCCGTTCACTGGAACTTAGCGTTTTCGATGCGAAGGCAATTGGCCTTTCCTGACCATCGATGAGATGAGATAGAATTGCAGCCACCCCTCTGGGACTCGCATCACACGTCAAAACTATGGGCTTTTTTACATCATTGTGAACTAACAAACTTGAGTCCAACACCCATGATTTACTCTCCTGAAAGGTCTTAGAACACACATCCGACCACACCCATGGATGGTCCTTATGTAATAAGTCATAAAAACAGCTTATTCTAGCAGACAAGTTAGGTATAAATGCATGATAATAATTTATTAGACCAATATAGGCTCTTAACTCTTCCTTAGTACTAGGCTCATGCGCTTTACGCAGCGCAGTTAACAAGCTTTCTTGTGGACGGAGACCATCTCGGGTAATCACATGTCCTAAATACTCTATTGAAGATTGCAAAAACTTACACTTTTGTTGGTTTACTCGAACACCATTAGGCTTAGGGACAACCACAAGTGGAGTGCTCCACTGTGAATTAGTAACTCTGTACGCAACATCCTCTTGAACCATTCGGTCCAACTCACTCTCAACTTTCTCCCTTAACGCAAAAGGCACTGGTCTCGCCTTACAGAACTTAGGGACTGTCCCTTCCTTCAAAACAATGTGAGCCTTAACACCTTTAATTTCGCCCGTTCCAGGCTGAAAAACTGACCTAAATTTACTCTTCAACTTAGCAATATCCACATCAGAACTATGATCCACAGTGGCTTTACATGAAAACACGTTTTGCCAATCTAACCTCAACTGACCTAACCAGTTTCGGCCCAACAGAATCGGTTGACTCTTACTTTCTAAACTAACTACTGTCAAAGGCAAACTCGCCTGCTGATTATTATATTTAACATCGACATTCACTTGTCCCAGAACAGGTACATCATGACCTGAATAAGTAGTAAGTTTCACATTTGCTGGCCTAAGTTTGAGGTTAGAAAATTTTTCATAAAATATCTCAGAAGGACATATAGTCAAGGCACTGCCTGTATCTAGAATCATTTCTAAATATACATCATTAGCCACTAGGCCTACCTTATAGCCGTTGTCTGATCCTGATTAAAGGGTTGTACAAACCTATCTCTGCCATTGGAACTTCTAGGCCTAGGCCAACCTCTTCCTCCACTTGATGGACCCCCATCCTAGGTGTCGACTTTTTACCATGGAAACTAGAAGATTTCTTGGCTTTACACACTTTCTTGAGATGACCTACTCTCTGACAACCGTGACACTTGTAATTGGCGAACGCACACGCACTAGGCCAATGACCCGCAGAACCACACCTCCAACAAGAGTTTCTAGAATTTTGATTTTCACTACTCCTATGCACGAAAGTTTTAGGCCTATTTTGACTTTTCACATTGATTTTCGCAATGTCCCCACGAGGTTGCCCAAATAGGCTTGACTGCGATTCGGCCTGTTCCAGCCTGAGCGCCAACGCATAGATTTCATCAAAGTCTAATTCCTCCGACAACAATTTTTGCCGGATATTTTCATTAGAAATGCCGGAAATCACCTTGTACCTCAAAGCGTCTTTCAAAAAGGTACTAAATTTACACGAACTAGCCAAATGTTTTATTGAAACCACAAACTCTGCTATGCTTTCGCCCGGCTTTTGCACACGAGAGTAGAATACATATCGCTCCGCCACAACCAACTTCTTGGGCGCATAATGTAATTTCAACAACCCTGCAAGTTCATCATAGGTCTTGGAATCTACCTCTACCGGTGATAATAAATCGGAAAGTACCGATAAAATCCTGGGACCAATAACTGTAATTAAAACCGACACCTCGTTCTCTTTCTTAACATTGTTCGCTTTGAAGAAATGTTTCAGGCGCAACAAATAGGGCACAATGTCCTCCTCACTTGGATTAAATTCCGAAATCCTGCCAACACTAATACTCGCCATTTTTAATCATCTCAACTCTAATAACGCACTAAAACAACAACTGTTATCGCGTACTACCCTAACTATGATAAAAAGGTTTATTACCGACTGCGCCAAAATGTCGTAACCTAACCGTTACGCTAGAAAAGTGGACAATAATTATGAGAGAACCACTTACGATCGTTGGTGAACATCGGGTGAACATAGAAGAAGGAGCCGTGACGAATCATCCCACTTCAGGGCCCAGTGCACAGTGCAGCCACCCCGCAAAACATAATAACTCTTCCGTTACTAATAATTATGACTGTTCATATATGAAACTATAATGACTTCTACTACAGTATAAAAACAATAATGACATTAATTGCGTTATTTGCCAAATTTGGTTGATCATTCAACGAATAAAATATTCCCCATACCGTACGTCATCGGAGTTATTATTAGTATGTTATCTGGTATCTCTTCCTTTGGGAGAACCTTTAAATAGTATTAAAATCGTATTGGTGGATCTTTTGTAGTTTAAGACTTCCATGATTTCATCAGTGTAATATGATTTTGTTGTCATAAATAAAAAAATGATAGTGATGCACCCTGTTGGTAAACCTATTAACTTTTTAATGCTATTGAACATCACAGAATCAAATTGTTTAGCTGAACCAGCGGTTAAGATTCTTTAATTCCATTTAAATATGAGTACTCATAAGGTTCTCTCAAATAAGTGGGGACAAAGTTTCCAATTAAATATTTAGATTTCCCCATGTTAATCTTATGGGAGAACCTCCAACTTTGATATCCAGTGGGGCAAGGCAAAGCCCGAGGATTTTTATTACAGGAATTGGTGAAAGGGGGCGTCTACACAAAAAATACTTTATTTTGACGCGTCGTTTGTAAAAATCCGTCCATTATTAACGGAGGAGTAGTGTTTTGTAGAAATCGCCTTCACGTATTATATAGCCTATAAGGATAGATAGATTGTTTTATAGTTTGTTTTATATGTGTAGTTTATTAGGATTAAGGACAAAAGTTGTTTTAAAAAACAGAATGTATTCCTCTGAAAAACGCTTGCTAATAAAGACCTTTTCTTATTATTATTCGTTTCATCGGCACTACGGCACATGATTGGCAGAAAAACAACTGGAAACGAAATGTTATTAAAAGGTTACTAGAGGACACATGCTGCTGCGCAGCGTTAAAATAATTATTATATCCGAGAAATAATCAAATTTATAATTTTTGATTGAGTAATACAGTATCTTGATTATAACTGATTCATACGATCAATATCTCAAATTAAATCCTATAATTTACTGATAAGTTTGTGTCTAAAACATATAGAAAAACATGAACAATACTGGAGCTATTGATTTTTAACCATATTTTAATTATAAAATCAATCAAATGATGTGTTCTGGTCGTGTAATACTGTAGGTAAATATTTGTAGATGATTGATGGCGAATCTCTGCGTGCATACCTTCAATTTGAGACCTCAATCATGAAAATCGGTCGGGTAGAAGAGCCAAACGAACTCGGCAAAGAAAAACCAAATTTAACTCCCATAAGAAATACATTGGGAGCAAATTTCGTTTACGTATAAATAATACGAGTAATACTATAGATAATTATATGCCGATGCTTGATGGCATATCTGTGCGTGCATACCTTCAATTTGAGACCTCAATCATGAAAATCGGTCGGGGAGAAGAGCCAAACGAACTCGGAAAAGAAAAACCAATTTTTTAATATATAAGATTAACAAGGTTGATATACCTGTGGGTTTTTAAATAATACTATGCGTATACTGAAACTTCAGTTTCAATTTTCAGGCGTGGCTCAGGGTTGTGACGAAGGCATGCATGAGTATTCATTTTAATCATTGACTAGATTCAACTTTTGGTAGATCCCATTGTGGTATTAGGTGATAGTATTTGAGGATGTTTTTAAGTCGCATAATATATCAGTACACTTTGGCATAACAACTAGCTATATTCATCGGATAAGCTAAAAACATTACATTGCATGCCATTAACTTAATATATATTTTTCCAAAACGATTTAAACTGAATCTCAGACGAAAAGAAGTTGGAAGATGAATCTTAGTAATGGAGATGGTCCAGTTACAGATCTGTGATCGATACACGTAAACTGAACAAGATTACAAAATGCGATGCTCAAATTAAATTATTTTATTTTATTTTATTTTAGCTTTTGATCTAGTGTCAATATTTGACGGCATAGTATTAGATGACTGACATTGAGTGGAGGTGGGTGGGTTTCAACTTTTAACAAAGCGGAGTTTGCTTGGGCCAGTCGAGCGGGGATGATCGGAGTCGGCAGTTAACAATAACAATAACAACAACCTACACGAGTCGGACCACACACACTTGGTAGTAGAACAAACCAAATAAAAAATACCTAGGACCAAGCTGTGGTTAGACTCCTGACTAGGGTCATAATGGTTCCAGGATACAATTAATTAGCTTAGTAATTTTACGATTTGAGAATGTATATACTAGGTGTACAAAATGCAGTTTTCTGCTTGCAATATTGAGCGGAGCTAGCATATTAATTCAATGTCAATTATATATTTGGTTCGTATTTTAAATAGAATGCCTATTTGCAGTGGGTATCCAAAGTCAATCATAAGTCAGGATTAAGTGAATGAATCGTCTACTTGAAGGAACCATATTCTATGTTTCATCGGGTCGCCGGATTTCTACCCGCGGATATTTACCCCCATGAAAAAACGCCTACGTCAATTTGACGTCACATGTATGGGGGTAAATTTCCGGCCGCGAACTTTTAGGATGGATAAATTATTATTTATTCAATCAACTCGCATTTCACGGTTTACTTAACAGTTGTAATTAATCAAAATGCTAATAAACCTGACACCGGAACTTTACCCCCGGAAATCTACCCCCAGACATCTACCCCCGGACATCTACCCCCGGACATCTACCCCTGGACATCTACCCCCAGACATGTACCCCAGGACATCTACCCCCGGACATCAACCCCAGGACATCTACCCCCGGACATCTACCCCAGGACATCTACCCCCGGACATCTACCCCCGGACATCTACCCCTGGATATTTACCCCCAGACATCTACCCCCAGACATGTACCCCCGGACACCTACCCCCGGACATCTACCCCCGGACATCTACCCCAGGACATCTACCCCCGGACATGTACCCCAGGACATCTACCCCCAGACATGTACCCCCGGACATCTACCCCCGGATATTTACCCCCAGACATCTACCCCCAGACATGTACCCCCGGACATCTGCCCCCGGACATCTACCCCCAGACATCTACCCCCGGATATTTACCCCCAGACATCTACCCCCAGACATGTACCCCCGGACGTGTACCCCCGGACATCTACCCCCGGACATCTACCCCCAGACATCTACCCCCGGACATCTACCCCCAGACATCTACCCCCGGATATTTACCCCCAGACATCTACCCCCAGACATGTACCCCCGGACATGTACCCCCGGACATCTACCCCAGGACATCTACCCCCGGACATGTACCCCAGGACATCTACCCCCAGACATGTACCCCCGGACATCTACCCCCGGATATTTACCCCCAGACATCTACCCCCAGACATGTACCCCCGGACATCTACCCCCGGATATCTACCCCCAGACATCTACCCCCAGACATGTACCCCCGGACATCTACCCCCGGATATCTACCCCCAGATCTACCCCCAGACATCTACCCCCGGAAATCTACCCCCAGAAATGTACCCCCAGTGGTCAAATCATAAATGTCTGACCCCGGAATTCTACCCCCGGAAATCTACCCCCCGTGCTACACTACGTATCGGCCAATATTCATTGTTGTAGTTGATTTTAGTAATTGGTTTATAAAAATAATCAATGGCTCTTCGTTTAGTAATTACCCTCAAATATCTAGTATTAAGCATGTGATATGTCGTTGTCTTGTTTAATGTCATCTATCTTCCCAATTCATTAAGCTGTAACTGATTTAGGCGTCATTTTTAAGCTTAAGATTCAGTGCAACGCAAATGGTAACTAAAAAGGATATTTTGATAAAGGGTTTCAAAAGTTAAACCCATAAGCATTTG